TCTTTCTGATGTTTTTTCCTTCTGGTCTTGAATGATGTGAAACTGGAAGGATTTGTATTGATATTTTTCCTTCTTGGATACTTACGCATAACCACAACAACAGTAAGTTGATGTTTTTACACAAGACATGTTACATGTTAAACAGCAAATATTGCACAAGCTGAAATAATACATCAACTACTTCCACAAGTACCAGCTGAGTTGAAAAGGAGGAGCTGAGGATGCAGGGCAGGCGTAAGGAGACGAGGTAGGAACAGGAAACGTGAGGCATCTCTTCCATCATTCATCATGGGCAATGTGAGATCTTAAGAAACGAGTTAGAAGCACTCCAAGAATATCTGTGTTTTAGTGAAACGTTACTGCAGGATTATATCTCAGACTCCAGCGTCTCTCTGCCAGGCTTTCTTACCACACAAGCAGACAGAGATTTAAAGAAGACTGGAAAACTCAAAGGACGCGGCTGGCACTGCTTGTGAACTACAGGTGTTACTCTTAAGATTTGTCATTGTAGCCAAGATATTGAACTGTTGGAAGTTGTTCAAGTTCAGGTACTAACCATTTACATTCCACCTTCTGCCCTTGCTGACACTGCATGTGAGGTCATCAGTTCTGTTGTTTGCTAAACTACAGACACATGAGCCAAATCAATCTCATACATCTCTAAAATAATCTCTAAAATCTTGGTAAATCAGATCACAATCTTGTTTTTTTCTGCTCATGCTACGTTCAGACCGGACGCTGCAAAAGCAGCAAAATCGCGTCTGCTGCTTCATTTTTGCTGCTTGTACCAGTTAGTTCTGACGCGCGGCTGAAGCAGCTTTGCTGCTCTGCCTGCGCGGTCCAAAAGTGGCTCTGACGCGCGTTGGGCGGAGCTTCACTATCCTTTCTCTGCCTTGCAGCTATATTTGCTGTGATCAGTGGGAATAAAGTAGTTTTAATATGTTATTAAGTGAGAAAATACACCTGAAAACTTCATCAGTGCCGTCAGTTCATCCAGATTACAATCCTGCCTCCCAATATTATTTCTGTCGGAGCCGCTCAGACCCCAACATATCGGCGGTGCGCCGACAGAAGGAATCCATTCATCAGCAGCCTCTGGCGGGTCGCCTCCTCGCGGTTTACCGCGGCGGCTGGTAGGTGTTTTTCATCTAAATAATCCGATCTGCAGGCACCACAATAATAAAAGCAAACATATTCTGCCGGCAGATGTATATATTTTAAGTTAATTATGCGTTAATAAACTGTTTAAGAGGAGTAATCAGAGCGGTCTGTGTCATCAGCGCTGTGTCTCTCTCCCAGCCAGCTCCCAGATCAGCTTCTCTGATTGGTTGACGCGGCGCGTCGAGCAGCAAAAATTCTATTTTTCCATCTCGAGCAGCAACGCGTTTGCGGCGCGTCACGCGCGTCAGATGCTAAAACGCGCCCGACGCGCTGCTTCAGCTGCTCAGACGCGCTGCGGCTGCTGCTCAAAACGCGCCGCGGGACCTTTTGCTGCGCCTTTGCGCGCGTCAACCATTGACTTTGCATGTAAACTCGCTGCTTCTGTCGCGCCAGCTGCCCCCGGTGTGAACGCAGCATTAGAGTATAAGCCACTTGATAAGTGACAATGTGCATTGAAAGAAAACGTAAAAAGATGGTCACAGGAAGCTGAAGAATCCCTGCAAGGTCGTTTTGAGGCTACAGACTGGGATGAACTGTGTCAGCTTCATGGAGATGACATCAATGCAATGACTGAGTGTGTGACTGACTACATAAACGTCTGTGTAGATAACAGCATCCCTACCCAAACAGGGAAATGCTTCCCAAATAATAAACTATGGACCCCAGGTGATCTGGAGCATTGCTCAACAAGAAAAAACAAGCGTTTAAGATGGGAGACAGGGAATTAATGAGGAGTTTACAGAAGCAACTTAAGGTCAAGGCAAGAGGAAGCACGGAGGCATAGAGGAAGAGGCTGGAAAACAAGCTCCAGCAGAACAATATCAGAGATGTGTGGTCAGAGATTAAGATCACAGGCTTCCAGCAGAAGGATGATCATACAGATGGAAGTCTGGACTGACCCAATGAACGGAAACATTCTTCAGCAGGTTCAATTCAAGAAAAAGCTCAGCATCCTTCTGTCTTGCCCACGGTGACGTAGAAATCCTGCCCTCCTCTGCCATTGACTATCCTTTTTCCATGAATTTGCTCTCAGCCAAATAAGTAGATGGTGCTGCTCCCTCCATCTTCACCTTTTCTTTCTCTAGAAGTCAAGTAAATAGGCAACTTGAGAAAGTGAGCTTGACGCAGACATTTTTGATTTGTGCTCATTATTGAAGGGTGGTCTGTGCTACACGCTGTGGGTCTAGATACGGCCGAGGCAATTAGGAAGTGGGGGCGAGTTTAGTCTGATAACGGAGGGACATGACGGCGAAAAATAGCGGGGACCCAAGTGGAAAAAGGGTCCCAGCGTTCTCGCTGGTTCAGTTACAGTTTGGGAGAGGTGCAGCGGAGTGTCTGTGGAAGGGGCGGGGACGGCTTTTTGTTCACTGCGACACCTACGCAGACGACCTAGTTTCGAAGTATAAATCAGCCTTTAGTCTGGTCCAGGAGACAGTTCTAGCACTACAAGTCCCAGGGAATTCCAGTTTTCCTGTAAGTCCCCCTCCCCTCTTCTAGTTTGTGTATTCACTCTAACTGGACCAGACAGAGTCCTGTCATCTGGAGAAATACTGGATGACTCTGCAATCATTGGGTCCATTATTGATGAACAAGAAGCTGAGTAAAGAGAGCTGGTGAAGCGCTTTGTGGCATGGTGTGGAAACTATCATCCGATCCTGAATATCGACAAGACAAGGAGATGATTGTAGATTTCAGAAGAAACAGGAACAAGTTGAATCCTGTTAACATCACGGAAGAAGTGGAGGTGGTGGAGGAGTATAAATACCTTGGTGTTCACCTGGACAACAACCTGGAGAGGAGAAACAACTGTGAAGCCGTCTCCAAGAAGGCACTGAGCAGACTGGAAGTTCTAAGGAAGCTTAGGTCCTTCAGCGATTGCAGCAAGATGCTGCAGAGCTTCTATCAATCTGTTGTAGAGAGTTTGATCTCTTCCTCCATCATCTGCTGGAGTAACAGCATCAGAGCAAATTACCTCAAGAAGCTCAACCAGCTAATTAAGAAGGCCGGCTCTCCTCTAGAACCTCTTCTCCAGATCTGTTGCAGAACAGAATGCTACAGAAGATCCTTCCTGCCTACAGCTTAAAACACCTACAACAACTTGAAGATGAAAGAAAAAACCCTGAGTTACTGCAACATTTAATTTATTTTTGCATTTGAAATAAATTGAATTTAATATTTTAATGACCAATCTGCACAATGACATTTCAATCTGAAAAACTCACAGAGAGAGAAAGATGCAATTAGATGAGTTTATTGATACAATAGTTTGAACTTTGGCGCTCAGGCCTCGGCAGGAAACATAAACGCTGATTTATACTTTAATGCAGATAAACTGATGAATGAGAATAAGGATATTTCCCCCCGGGCCTGAAACTGGTGGTGGAGTTTAGATAGATGAAGTTTGGTTAATCCATAGAGGCTGGTATGCAGGGTGATGCTTGAGTTAGATGACACTGAATGAACAAAGTTTGCATAAACTGTCCATGAAGAGCAAGCATGAAGCGACTGTGGAGAGAAAAAACTCCCCTTTGGGAAGAAATCTCTGGCAGAACCAGGCTCAACATGGCGGTATTCTGCCGGACCGTTTAAAGTGACAGGGAACTCCGTGAAAGTCTGGAGGGAGTACACACTGGAGGTGAGGTTGAAGGAGCATCGAGGAGGAGTCGGATGAGCTTGAGGATTAGCGACGGATCTTGCGCTTGTTGAAGAACAGGTCGAGAGATGATTTGGAGTGGCTTTAAGTAGAGTGCTGGAAGATAATTGGGCATCGAGGAAAGTGGCTTGAAGCGGATTGGCTGCATCGGAGGCGGATCAGCCTCAGATTGAATGAAAGTAATCAGAGTTTCTTCAGTTGAATTTCCGCCTTAGCTTCATATTTATCCACATGTAAATTGATTCTCTAAATCTGAAAGTCAGCTCTAGCTGTAGTTTTTAAGCCCCATGTGTTTTTTTTTCTATCACTTCTGAAGGTGCAAATTGACATGCAAACCTTTCTCCAGTCATTGTTGCTGTGTCTAAGTTTACACAGTTCGACTCTGTAAATCAATGCTCAACAGGAAGTAGATGAGCCAGCATTTTTGTGCATCTACTTTGTGTGTATTTATGCCATTCTATCTAAGTTTGTTTATTTTCATTTTGGACAATGAAAGGTAACCTTTCCATAGGGCACTCGTTGGTGTGTCTACATGCAGCATTCAGCGGTTATGGCCGTTTTCTCCACCTTATCCATTGGATTCTTTCCACAGTCTCTCTGCAAAACGCTTGGAATAATCTAATGTTTGCAGCTGTTGATTTACTTTTACAAATGTTAATGATGACGACCAAGGACCTCTGTTTTATTGTGTTACTTAGCCAATTACTGCCAACAACAGCTCTCGCAGCCCTCGTCTTCCAGAAAGCATGGCTTGAATAAAAATCTATTTTTGTGTTTGTATACGTAAGGCCGCAGCTCTTTAGCACTTCCACTTTTAGTAAATCTGAATTTAGGGGTAAAAAAAACTAGAGAATGTGTCCTTTATAAGAGGCCCAGAACTTAATTTATACTCCAAAGGGCTGCAAATCTACCATGGATTTTGATTTAGAGAGGTTTTCTGAGACATTTTTAGAGAAAAGGACTGACCTTTGAGTAGTTATAGGGAATGGACAAACGTCTGTAAGATGCTGGAACTCAAAGTTTCAGAGGAAATGGTGAATGTCAAAGCTAAAGCATGCAGTTAAGTTATTTTTAACACCACAGCTGTTTAGGAAAATGTGGCAGTAAAAATGATCCCAGTTGGACCAATTATCTTAGTTACTTTCCCCTCAGACGGGATCTAAACCTTCCTGTTTTATCGTTGCAGGACATCTGTGGACAAAAGAGCTGCGACACTCTGGGTGTGGCAGATGTCGGGACGATGTGTGATCCCAAGAGGAGCTGCTCGGTTATCGAGGACAACGGCCTGCAAGCTGCCTTCACTGCTGCACATGAGCTCGGTCAGCTTTAACTCTCTGTCACTGATTAGGGCTCCTGGTGGCAAATCGTTTATGAGAAAAGTTACAGGCTGCAGTAGAACAGCTTTAAGATGTTAGGTGTTTTGGCCACCTTACAAGACGCTGGATGTTCATGTTTTTACCCTTGGTTCTCTCCCTCCTGCAGGCCATGTGCTGAGCATGCCGCATGACGACTCCAAGACGTGCGAGATGCTGTTTGGGGACCTGGGAGGGCATTTCCTGATGGCCCCTCTGTTTGTCAGCCTCAACAGATCAGCTCCTTGGTCTCCCTGCAGCGCCCTCTACATCACCGAGTTCTTTGACAACGGCCACGGTGAGCGACGCTCTGTTTCAGGCGTTTGCCTTAAAGCGGTCCTTCTGCCAATTTGAACGTCGGCCAGGACGCTGTGGCTTGTTATGGAGCTGATTCAGGGAAACATTAAACAGAGTGTTCTTCCCTCATGAATGATGTCTTTCCTGCTTAAACATGCTGCTTCACCCTAATTATAGGTTCTGGTGATGGTTTATCTTGCACTAGATTTCAACATCCTCTTCTCTTCCCTTCTGCTTTTTATTTTTTTCACCATGACTCCTTTTCTCCTTCTCCTCACCCATGTCATATGTTTCGGATTGTTTGTATCCTTACTAGACCAGTCGTTGAACCTTCCTTTCCACTGAGTCATGGCATGGACTCCTTCCTACTCTCCACCTCTACAGCCAAATGCAACAGCTGGCGCTAAAAAATCTGTTCTTTATCTGTTGGAAAACATCTCCAGTCAAAAGCCTTGTGGCTCAGAGCGCTCTGAAACTTTCTGAAATGAGGACAAGATAATTACCAACATTCAAAGCCATAATCAATGTAAAAACTTTCATGGGCGATGATGGAATAATTCAGTTTTTATTAGGCAGGAAAAGCTCAAATTTAGAGCAGTAAAATGGCAGGTATAATAATAAATATAAAATTGAATTATAAAGCACTTTCACACAAAGTACTGTTCAGTACAAGTAGATAAGAAGCAAATTAAAAAGATACAGATAAGAACAAAAGTACAAGTTGATCAATAGGACAGAGTAAGAAAGTGCGTCTTTACTAGCTTTAAAAACAAGCAGCCAATGAAACGATAGAAGCACTTTCATTACAACACGAGCCACATTCAGAACCGTCTGCAAACGTCTGAAACTTTTCCTTGGTGTATCAGAGAAAAGAGCGATGTGTGAGGACACAAATGCATGAATAAAAAAATCTATTTTTATGATGGTACAAGACAGACTTGGTCACCATCTGTAAATGAGGCTTGAAAGTAGAAAAAGGATCAAACCACAACTCCAAGTTCATGATTATATCCAGGATGGATTTAGCAAATGTGGGGCCCTAGGCAAAGACAGGCAGGGGGCCCTTTGAAATTAGAAGAAAACACATCAAACAGCCCCATTCTACAGATAGAGAAATGTTAATAGAATAGACATCCATTATCTGTTCTAGGTTGTGTCCCTCTCTTCTTGTCCCTTTTCTTCTTGTTTTCCTCTCTATGTTTTGTACTCAGCTGACTTTTCATGCTGTCTCTAAAGGAATGAAAGATTTTTTCCAAGCACTAAGCTCACTTAGCTGATTGCTCCTTCCTGTGTTTCCAAAAAGGCCAAAGTAAATAACCCAGTCCTTCTTTTCACTGTAGACAAGTCATGATCTGCTTATCTGTTCTCCATTTTTCATTTGGATGAAATAATAGCTGCATGAATCATGACAGCAGACAAGATAGAGGAGAGCAGGAGGCGGGGTTACCAATCTACTTGCTCTGGAGAGCAGAGTTCGCTGCTTTTAGATGTTGTCTCCAAAGTCTCCAGTAGCAGAAAAAAGTCTCTAGATTTGGCGCTAGGAGCTTTTTAGAAATCAAAGTGCTAGAGGGGTCTGAAAAGTGGCTAAATATAGCGACTAAAGCGCTAAGTTGGCAACACTGCTCTTTGCATCGTTTGTTTTCAAATGGTTTGCTGCTGTCTGTTTGGACCTTTCTGAACATGTGCAGCAAATGGACTGATCCAATATGGTGGACACTGAAGGGGGGGCTGAGACACACTTAATATTATAAATGTTCTGATGGCATTTTAATAAAAGGAATTTTATAAAAAACATAATTAATGAGCACAAATAAGGAATAGTTGTATTAATCATACATGTTGACAGAGTTTTATGGGGCCCCCAGGAACTTGGGGCCCTAGGCAGCGTCCTAGTTTTGCCTAATGTTAAATCCGCCCCTGATTATATCCCTACATTTATTACATAGTGGTGTATAACTTTAGTGTGAGGTTTGGAGGTAATGTCGCTGTTTTTGAGGGCAGATTATCTCTAACTCTGTCTTGTTTGTTTGCACCTTTAAGAGGTGTCTTGTCTTGAACCTTTACCTAATGCTGTCACATCTAATGGAGAGAGTAACACATGTATACCAGCCATGATAATCTCCTCACCCTGAATCTAAGCCAGAGCTGCTGTGTCCCCTGACCCCAGGTGACTGCCTCTTGGACATCCCGGAGAGCAACATTCCCCTTCCCCAGGAACTGCCGGGCACCCTGTACGGCCTGGACCAACAGTGCCAGCAGATCTTTGGAGAGGAGTTTGTCCACTGCCCCAACACATCAGACAGTGATATCTGCAGTCAGCTGTGGTGCCGAGAGGACGGCATGCCGCAGTGCTCCACCAAGAATGGCAGCCTGCCCTGGGCCGATGGTACTCCCTGCAGCGCCAATGGAAGCTGTCTGCATGGAGCATGCAAGACGACAGAGGAAGTGATGCAGCCACTGGTAGGATCATTTCTAGACATACTTAGGTTACCTTCACACAGCAGCACGAAGTGACCCAAAATCCTTTTTCCTCCCATAAGTGACCAGTATCTGATCGTTTCATGAAAGTCTGAAAAACACAGATCTGATGTTTTCCAATGTCATCCAGGCCACATGGCTCTGTGGTCCTGAATCCGATACGAATCTGATCTTTTCGCATTCAATTCTATTAAGTTTATTTCTATAGCACCAATTCAACACGTCATCTCAAGGCACTTTCCAGTTCACCAGATCATCCAGTCAGATTGATTCAAAGTTTTCTATCTAAAGAAAACCAGCTGATTGCATCGACTCATTGACTCTTCAGCAATCCCTCACACTAAGCATGCTTGTAGCGACAGTGGAGAGGAAAAACTCCCTTTAAACAGGAAAAAACCTCCAGCAGAACCAGGCTCAGTGTGAGCGGCCATCTGCTGAGGCCCACTGGGGTTCAAGGAGACAGAAGCAGACATAGAAAAAGCAGCAAAGATACAAAACACAGCTGTGAATGGCGTCCAAGAATTCATTTGACCTGAACGTCATAAATACTCAACAAACGTCAATATTCTGCTTCTTGCTACACAGAAGCAGGAAGAAAAACAACAACCATGGTGGACGATAATGCAGAGAGCAGTTTTTATTTTACACTGTGTTGAAAAGATGCTGTTGTTTATGCTCTGGCTGAGGTTGGAAAACAAATGAAAGATTGCGAGATACGCTCCAGCACTACCATCCATGTTTACTTCCGTAAAAGCAGAACAGGCTCGCTACATGTTAAGTTATTGCATCCTCTACTGCGCATGCGGGACATGAATGCAGTTCAGACGGGATCACCTACAAGTCGCATATATTAGGACATATGGACGACCACGCAGAAGAGTCTGATTTCACGCAAAAAATCGTAATTGAGCGTAATAAAGGCCTGCAGTGTGAACGTAGCTTAAGATATTTGTTTTTTATTTAGCGCTGAACCCTCTGAGGTTGTTTTTTTTTGTGTTACTTCACTCTAACTAATTCTACCACCATGGTGCCTGAAATAATAATTTTTTAGATACATTTTAACTTCTACTCCTTACATTTGTTGTGTAAAATGGTTTATTTTATCTATAAAAAAAGATTAATGTTAGAACTGCAAATATCCAGCCTTATTTTTATATATATTACTTTGTTATGTATTTATTACTGTTTTCAAGGCTGCACTTCAAAAAAATGAAATTGTCTAGCTCTATTTTAAAGGAAATTTGTTTTCGCATACACTTGTGTACACAAAATGACAAAATAAATAAGTCTAAGTCATTTTTTTTCCAATTATCTCTACTTTCTACTCCTTACATTTTATAAATGGACTTGTTAATTTTGTTTTATTGAAACTCATTTTCATTCTGGCCTGTTGGTATTTAAAAAAAAAAACATCAAAATATTTAGTTTCATCCATATGGAAGTAAATCTATGTTGCTGGGATTTAAATTAAAAATGCCACTGAAATTTAAATGTTGTATGTTTGTACTTACGGTTTCAGTGTTAAAATATATTCAGAACACATTTTTGACCTAAAAAAAAGTTTATTGTCATTATTTCTACAGTTGAAATTTCATTTGTTATTTTCTCTTCAAGCTAAAAATTCACATTACTATTTCAAAGTGATTACATTTTCAATACTTATTTTTCAGTTTAATTTTTGAGTGTTAAAAAAAGCTGCATATAAAAAAATTTTATTGAGTTTGAATTTTGAAAGGTTGAATTTTTTTATATGCAGCTTTTTTTAACACTGAAAAATTAAACTGAAAAATAAGTATTGAAAATGTAATCATTTTGAAATAGTAATGTGAATTTTTAGCTTGAAGAGAAAATAAATGAAATTTAAACTGTAGAAATAATGACAATAAACTTTTTAGGTCAAAAATGTGTTCTGAATATATTTTAACACTGAAACAGTAAGAACAAACATACAACATTTCAATTTTAGTGGCATTTTTAATTCAAGTCCCAGTGACACACATTTACTTCCATACATCCAGACAATTCATTTCTTTGTGGTTGGACTCGGTGCTGCCCCAACTTGTTGCTCACCACAGACCAAAATAAATAGTTTTTCAAGGTGATGCGAAGTTAAATTTGACACTGTTACCAAAAACTAAGTAAATTAAGTCTAAGAAAGTTATCCTTTCCTCCTTTAATAGCCTAGCGCAGCAAAGCTTCTGTGCTTAACATTTTTTACTGCATTACTTTTACTTTTATACTTTAAGTAGATTTAAAAATGGTACTTTTACACTTTAACTGGAGTAAAACGCTTAACTTGATCTTCTAACTTCTACAAAAGTGATTTTAAACAGTAGGACTTATACTTCTACTTGCGTAATTAACATTAATACCAAAAACTCTTTAAAACTACTACTCTAGACCCTCTGTGCTGCTACTTTTATGGTGTGCCGTATATCTTGGTCCCGCTCTCAGTGCAGTGAGGATAGAGCAGGGTACTGAGCTGTAATCACATTTGCTATTTTCAGCCCAATCTACAGAATCAATTTGAAACTCTATTTATAAACAGTGTCAGCTCTTATATTAACAGGTGGGTTTCTGTTAAATGCTGTTTGAAACAATGTGTGTAACCTCTGTGTGGAGTGCGGTTTAGAAACACTAAGCCGAGTTCAGAAATGGCAACGTTGCACCAATACCTGCTGACATTTTACTGGCCCTTTCTAAACACCGATTGTTGATTAAAACACAACTTATAAATGAAGTGGTTTATATGAAGTAAGTACTGCAGTGATTTTGTGGTTTGCAGCAGGGTCCATGACCCAGAACTGAGGGAGGAGCAACTATTGACATGGCTCCAAGCTGCTTCTCTGCCAGTGGAAAACCAAACTGCTTCTCGACTTTACAAAATACTTTAAAAATATATATCAAAAAAATATTTGGATAAACAAAATAAAAAAGAATTGGAATACATTGTCACAGGATTGCAGAAAGTATTCTAAAATAGAGATTTAATTGTGTCTTGCACTGCAAAAATGTCTAAAAATGAGTAAAAAAATTCTTAAAATAGATGTATTTACCTTTAATTTTAGTAGGTAAAAAAGATAATCTGCCAATGGAAGAAACATTTTCACCTTTAAAATAAGATAATTCAATATTTTGCACTTGGAATAAGAAAGTGCATTCGTTTTTTTTTCTTATTTTAAATGTAAATTGTATTTTTCCATTGGCAAAGTGTCTCACATACCTGCTCAATTCAAGACAAAAAAATTAACTGATTTCAAGAAAGTTACTTACATAGATAAAAAAGTTTTTGCAGTGTGAACAGTGATTTTTCTTTTTTTTCAATCATGCTTTTGTTCGAGCTGCAGTGCCTCATCTCACATCTCTGTATGGATCCATTAGGAGGTAGCAGCTGGGATGGTTGTTGATCCAAACTCATAAAATCTTCTCAAAGGGGAGCCGAAGCCTCGCCAGAAAACAAAAACACATTCAGTTTCTACTCAAAGTCTGAAAGCACAGCGGCTTCCACCAGCAATGAGTGACACATGCGGCAGGAATGTGGGCTGATGGAGACAGGGGGCGCGTGCCGAGCTTCAACACAAATTTAGCCCTGCGTCTCAGCACTCCGACACACTGAGCAGCCTCAAACCCAGAAGCCCAGACTGCGGTTAGGGTTGTGCAGCCTTTGGCTGGGAGCTCTTACCAACCACTCTGACTGCCTCTTCTCTTTTTCTCTGTTTAACCACAGACGGTTGTGGATGGCAGCTGGAGCTCGTGGGGACCGTGGCAGCAGTGCTCCAGGACATGCGGAGGTGGGGTGGAGTTCTCCTACAGAGAGTGTGCTGACCCTGTGCCTCAGAATGGAGGGAAATACTGTGAGGGACAGAGAGTTCGGTACCAGTCCTGCAACACAGAGCCGTGTGACACCAGTGAAGGTAAAAATCAGGTAGATTTTAAATGAATCAGAGTAGAAAATGTTTTATTGTTTCTTTGGAAAGGAAAGAAGAACCTCTGTATAGATACCAAAATAGTTAAAAAACAATCTATTGCAGTTTGTGTCCAGATTTGAAGACGTTTCTCTTCTATCCAGGAAGGTTTTTCAATTCAAAATGTCAGAAATAGCGTTTAGTTCAAGGCTTTATAGAATGAACCAAAGCAAAGCCTTTTTTTGGCTTAGAAACATGCAAATTAACCTGACGAGTGGGTCCACCCCTTTGGAATGTAGCTTGTTTTGTTTCTTTGTTAGCCTGTAATAACCAAAACCTGTCTACGTCTCTGAGAGGGGGGTCGTTAGAGGGAATTGTGGGCCTGGCTGAAGAGGCGAGGTGCTCTGGTCCCCTGTAATGGGGTTAGGGTTGTGATGATAGCGGTAAGGAATCAACTCATTCACTCAATTGTAGGTTTTTGAAAGCTGAAATCTGAGTCCACCTCCTCTGTTTAAGGTTGGCTTCCTTCACGCCCCTCTCAAACCACCTATCCTCTCTGTCCAAAATGTGAATATTTTCTGAACAGATGTTAAAGGAATAGTACACCCAAAACATGATTAGCCTTCATTTACTACTCACCCCCATGCTGAACAACACTCTGGAGTACTTTTTTGATATCTCAAATGCATCTGGAGATCTGGGAGGCTTCTTGCTGTCTGCTGACATTCAAATAATGGAGGTCTATGGCGCCCGAGGCAGAAAGGTCCATAAAAGTCCACAAAAAAAACGTGTCAATATTCCTCCATACTGCTCGTCCAATGTATTCCAAGTGTCCTGAGTGGGTAGCGTCCATAATTTACTCGAAACGAAGTCATTTAGAATGTTTTTAGAGCATAAACAGTAGTGTATAGGATTTCCTAAAAGCACGTTCACGAGTCTACGGAAACCGCGGCAGACCAAACCAGACGAAAGTGCGCATTCAGCTCGGCAAAGAACTCATGCTCTTCCTCAACACTGAAGTCCTCAGACATTTTTCTTTCGTTGTTTCTTTCTTTGCACAGGTAAACAGCAGATTTCTTCTTCTACGCTTGCATTATCAGCAAAGCAGACGCTGAATGCGCACTTTCATCTGGTTTGGTCTGCCGCGGTTTCCGTAGCGTCGTGAATGCGCTTTTAGGAAATCCTATACACTACTGTTTATGCTCTAAAAACATTCTAAATGACTTCGTTTCGAGTAAATTATGGATGCTACCCACTCAGGACACTTGGAATACATTGGACGAGCAGTATGGAGGAATATTGACACGTTTTTTGTGGACTTTTATGGACCTTTCTGTCTCGGGCGCCATAGACCTCCATTATTTGAATGTCAGCAGACAGCAAGAAGCCTCCCAGATCTCCAGATGCATTTGAGATATCAAAAAAGTACTCCAGAGTGTTGTACAGCATGGGGGTGAGTAGAAAATGAAGGCTAATCATGTTTTGGGTGTACTATTCCTTTAAGGCCTCTTCTTGTTTATCTTGATTGCTGTGTTGCTTCTGAATTTCAGTTTCTTCGCCAATACGAAAGTATAGTGAATAAAATCAAAACTAGCACACACCCACACCAGAGGCATAGCCAGAAATTTTTAATTGGGGTGGGCAAAAGCAGATAGGTGCCAGATCTTAGGGTCAGACCACAATTCAATTCAATTCAGTTTATTTCTATAGCGCCAATTCAAAAATTTATTTTTGTTTACCCTCATGTACACAAAATGACAAAAAATATCTGTCTAAGTCTCAGTCTAAATTTTTGCTTGGTAAGTTTTTGTCAGTGGATCAACCACCCAGACTTCTCATGTCTGATGGCTCTAATCTACTCTCCATACCCAGAATCAAACATGGAAGAAGCTTTTAGTTCTAATGTTCTACTTATCTGGAAGACAACTGTAAGACCGACAGACAGACAGACAGACAGTTGTTTTTATATGTGTGTATCTGAACATGATTAAAGATTAAAAAAAAAAACTTTTTGTTCCTTGTCATATAAATGAACTGATCTGATTCTAAGTTCTAAGATCAGGGTTCTGTTGTTTTAGGTAAAAGCTTCAGAGAAGAGCAGTGTGAGAAGTACAATAGTCCCAATTACCTGGACTATAGTGGGAAGATGAAACAATGGATCCCAAAGTACGCTGGAGTTTCCCCCAGAGACCGCTGTAAGCTGTTCTGCAGAGCAAGGGGCAGCAGTGAATTTAAAGTGTTTGAATCAAAGGTACAGTATCTGCACACAACAGCTCAACACAATTATAGATAGGGTTGAATCTATGGTGAGGAGTAGAACAATAGTGCACACATCTTTTTTCTCTTTATTTTGCTGGCATATATTATTTTAGAAGCAGGGTTTATTTTACACGATAGATCTATGAAGGTAATTTTCAAAACGATTCGTCATGGTTTTATCTAAAGCTCTGACCGACGTGCAGAAAACCAAACAGAGAGACCAGGGGAAGGTTTAACAGGTTTATTGTAAGTAGGTAGAGAGGAGTCCAGTGCTGCTCTGAACACTGTCGAACCGGGACTGAAAAGTGAAGGGGAAGATTCTGCGGTTAGTTCAGGCTCAGTGGGAAATTTGTGTCTCTGATTTGAAAAAGGGAATAAAGGCAACAGGACTCCTGTTTCCAGAAAAAGGTGTCTTTTGTTGAATCCAGTCGGTGTGGGTTGTTCCAGTAATAGACTTGTTCGTTGGAGGGCGGACAGGGTTTTACCAGGTTGAGGTGACAACGGACGAGCTGACTGCCACTTAGATTTCCTGCGGTACTTGAACGGTTTCTTGTGGAGATGAATCCCCTGCTCAGTGTGAAGCCCAAACAATCCTTGGAGAAAAGTTGATCCAAACCACCAGTTTGAAACCTCAGCTCAGTTTGATGCTCAGAGAATCCTTCCAGGAGGGAGAAGGTCCAAAACATCCAGTTTGCAGGATGACTTCCTGCCGAGAGGCAAAGACAAAAAAAAAGGTTAAGACTCAGGTGACAAAAAATCAGTTTTACTCAGCAAAACTCAGCTTGGCTAGAGTACCCAAAACTGGCAAACACTCTGGCGTCGAGGTAGTGGCAGTCAGCAGCTTAAGAGTCCTCCGGTAATGAGGTAACCATCCGCAGGTGTATGAGGAGGCCAATGAAAAGCAGGCGCCACCTGGTTGTGGAGAGAAAACAAACAAAAGCACAACCCACACAAACTGGATTCCTAACACTATTTGTGCTTTGTAAGTGAATTTGAAGTTGCAGACAGAGTTACGTTCTAAGTTTTGTAATTGTAGAATAAAAAAAACAATGTACAAGTAATTTATTTTGTCCAAATGCACTAATTGTGCTCTATAAATTGCACATAAAAAGTCTCTTACCTTCTCAGTTTTGCTCCAAGTGGTCCAGACCTTTTGTTGCCAAAGTATTTGTGCATCTTAACTTTCGTGTTTTGTAACTGAAAGATTTTTTTAAATCTGTCACAATTACAACAAAAAAGTTTTACCTCTTCAAATTCTTGAGTACAAGTAAACAAATATTGTTCTGAGTTGCACATCAAAAATGTCCTCCATTCACTTTTGCTCATTTATCTGAAACAAATGGTGCAAAACAAATTCGAACATGGGTATTAAAATCCTCACAATTTTAAAAAAATATTTTTTACCTTAACATAAATAAAAACCGATAAACACAACTCCACAAATCTGCGACTCTGAGTCACAAATTCAACTTTTCAAGTTACACCTTCATTTTCACTTTTGCTCCAAATGTCACACCGTTAAAAGATATGTGACTTGTGGATTGTGCCCTTGGTCATATATTACACAAAAAAAAAGACTCTTAACAAAGCCATTACTCTAATAGAAATGGTGTCTTTGAAAGAAATGATATTTGGATTAATAAAAACTAATTAATTCTGCTCTCATTTATAAACATGGATGTTATAATCAGCTTCAAACACAATCCAATGATGGCATTTGGGAGATAACTGTTTCTTTCTGTATCATTGCAAAAACATAAATTGCTGAATGAATTAAGAAATGGACACTTTTATCTGAGGTGTATTTTTTTTTTTTTTTATTTTACTTATTTTTTATTGAACATTTCTGAACACATACAGTGGAGAGGCAATCATACATTCAACTTCATAAACAATGTTAAACAGCTGTGACCATATTTATCTGGGTACAAGAGTGGTATTCTCCTTGCGCCTGTAGTCGCTCCATTTTTCCCATTTAACAACGAATTTGTCCCCCTGCAATCTCAGTCTATGTGTGATTTTCTCCATTAGAAAAATCTCTTCCACGATGCTCAGCCACTGCTCCGCCGCAGGGGGGTCCTGTCTATACCATAGTTTTGTGATGGTTTTCCTAGATGCTGAAAGTAAAATTTTTACCAAGTATTCATCATCTTTGTGAATTACCTCGTGTGTCAGGCATCCTAGATAAAGTATTTTACAAGATCTGGGTATTCCATAACCCAGTATTTTTTTCAGAATAAGGCAAACATTACGCCAGTATGTAGTTAGCTTTTGACACGACCAGAAAATGTGCGTATGGCCTACATCAGTCTGGCCACAGAGTCTCCAGCATGGCTGTGAACTGGATAGCATCCTGGACCTGACCTTTGGTGTTATAAAAAATCTAATCATGTTTTTCCAGTTAAATTCCCTCCAACCACGAGAGCAGGTGGCCGTGCACTGCATTTTACAAATTTAAAACCATTCCTCTTCGCTTATATGTTCCTTTAATTCGTCCTCCCATTTTTCTTTAATGCAGATAGTAGATGTCTTCCTGCCTGCCATCAGTCCCTGGTACAGTGCTGAAATAATTCGTAATTTATTCCCCTCATAGGTTTTATGAAATATCTCTATTATTTTACTTACGTTGGTTTTTATCTCTTTCTCATAATAATCTTTTATTTGCAGGTATCTATACTGGTCTTGGTCCTCTAGTTCATATTTTCTCTTTAAGTTATTGAAGTTCAGCAGTTTGCCCTTTTCAGTCAATTTACACATTGCTGTGGCGCCTTTATTTGCCCATTTTTTTAAACCTGTGTCGTAAATACCTGGTTTAAACCTCGGATCCCAAGCAAACCAGCTCAAACTCCTAGTTTCTTTCTCTAGCTTGTATTTATCAATTACTGTGTTCCATATTTCGATTGTAGTTTTAGTTATTGAATCTATCTCATTGCTTAGCATGCCTAAGAGTGTTTTATCTGCTATTAAATTTTTAACTTCTATGGCTTTTCTACCCAATTCCAAATTTTTCCATTTTGAAACATAGTCATCATTGCACCAACATACCAGAGGTCTAATTTGTCCGGCCCAAAAATATTCCTTTAGGGCCGGCAAGCCCAGACCTCCCCTATCTATTGGGAGCTGAAGTGTTTTATATCTAACCCTAGGTTTCTTCCCGTTCCATATAAACCTTGAAATCCATCTGTCCCATTCTACAAATTGTTTTAGCGGGACAGTCAGTGGCAGGGACTGAAACAGGTACAACAGTCGTGGTAAAATATTTATTTTAATTATCTCCACTCTAGAGCTGAGATCCAAGCCAATGTCCATCCATCTCCCTAGGTCCTTCTTAATATTGTGGTTTATTTCTAGATAATTTGCATCATAGAGTTTATCAATTGTTTTGGTTATGTTTACCCACAAATATTTTATAGATTTTTCGTTCCACTTAAGTTTGTAGGTATCTCTTATTTTCTGCTGCGGGGAGTAATTTATTGTTAAGATCTGTGTTTTTTCCACATTAATTTTGTATCCCGAGAGTTTCCCATAATCGTCGAGCAACCTTATTGTTTTTAAAAACATTTCATTTGGGTTTTTTAAATAAATCAAAATGTCATCTGCAAACAACCCTATTTTATGTTCTTCCCCTCCTATTTCCACTCCTTTTATTTCCACTTCCTGCCTAATCATCTGAGCTAATGGTTCTATAAAGAGTGCAAAGAGACTCGGTGAGAGGCAGCATCCCTGTCTTGTTCCTCTCTCCAGTGTAAATCTACCTGACAGGTTGCCATTAATCTTAATCCGTGCAGTTGGCTCTTGATAAATTGATTTAATACAGTTTACAAATGTCTCATTAAATCCAAATTTTTCTAAGACCTTATACAAAAAGTTCCAATTGACACTGTCGAAGGCTTTTTCCGCGTCTATGCTAATTAAAACTGCCTCCTCCCCACTTCCCTGCAGATGGTCTATGATATGAAGAGTTCTCCTTATATTGTCTTGTGTTTGTCTTTCCTTTATAAAACCAGTTTGATCCTCATCGGTTAAATCCTGCATTAAATTTTCCATTCTTTTAGCTATGATGGAGGAAAACAGTTTATAGTCTACATTTAGTACCGATATCGGTCTGTAGTTTTGGCAGTATTCTTGGTCTTTGCCATGCTTTGGGATTACGGAAATAATGGCTTCCTTCCAAGAAGGGGGCATCTTGCCCGTCCTGAGACTATTGTTAAACGAATCATATAGTAGTGGTGTTAATTCTTCTTTGAAGGTTTTATAAAAAGAGGCCCCTAAACCATCTGACCCTGGTGACTTTCCTGTTTTAGTTCTGCCAATTGCCTTTGTGATCTCTTCTTCTGTAATTTGAAGAGTCAGTGTCGCATTTTGTTTTGTGCCTATCGCTGGTAGATCCAGTTTTTCCAGAAAATTATTCAACTCCTCTTCCCCAGCCGATGTTGGTTGTGCATATAGATTTTTGTAATATTGCTCAAATGTTCTTTGTATTTCTTCCTGTTCATATAGGATTTTATTAGAAAGTGGATCTCTTATTTTATGTATGTTACCTAATGTTTGTTGTTTCTTAATGCGCCTAGCCAAATTTTTGGTGGCTTTCGGTCCCCCCTCATAGTACTTTTGTTTAGTAAATCTAGCCTTCTTTTCTACCTCCTCCCATAGATTCTCATCCATTTCTTTCCTGGTTTCTTTAATCAGGTTAAATATGTCTGGGTCATTTGTTTGGTTATGTTGTTGTTCTAAATCTCTTAGCTTCCTTATTTGTTTATTGTATTTTTCTAATCTTGCTTTTTTCATAAATGCTGTGTAAGAAATCATCTTCCCCCGTATTACTGCCTTAAGGGCATCCCAGAGAATTACTGGGTCTACTTCATCATTATCATTTTCCTCTTTATATCGGATTATCTCCTCTTTTACTTCCCCAACTAAGGCCTTGTTATTTAATATGTCTTCATTTAGTCTCCATAGAGTATTATTCTTTTGGCTGTCCAGATGGATCAC